TGGTCTCTAAAAACTCTGAATAATTTATCGCTAAAAATCCAAATAACAAAATGATCATTATCTTACAATACATAATGAGGTATTTTCTCCCTCCTTTCTGCATGCTTTCGTGGTGCAATGGGAGCGCACTCGACGCGTATTCGAGAGGCCTAGGCGAGGGCATTGCTCATTCTTCACGTCTCCCTTATAAAAAAAGGACTAATGACCCTACAGTGAGGCCCAAACTAAAAGGTGGTGGATGATGATACTTCACCATCAGGATTTGGAGATTGGGTCTACTAATCCTCAGTCGCCCTTTAAAAGGGGAGATAAAGTATTTTCTCCCTTCTTTCAGAATGCTTTCCTACTGTAACGGTAGCATACGCGACGCGTGTTCGACAGCGCCAGGTTCGATTTCTGGCGAGCGTATTGCTTATTTTTCATGTACTCCTGGTTCAAAATAAACCAATCCTCTACAACATGTAAAACACATTGTTTAACTGAAATTATCAAACGTTAAACTGAATAAAAACGAGACCACATTGTAATAACTTTTTCTTTTGAAAAAAAAATATTTTTCATGACTGAAGTCTTAAAAATTTAAAACACGGTATCAAATATTTAGTACATTAAATCATTAAATGCATTTATTTATTTATTTATTTTATTTCCAATGGTGGGCTCTAGCCGTTTTTAGTCGTTGGTCACTGTTAAGGCCGGAAGCTGTGGTCTATTTACTAAGGAAGCACCAAAGAGCTGGGCCACCGTTGCTTTCTATGAAGGGACGAACAAGTTATATCCATGCCTTCAACGAGATTCGAAACCAGGTCCTTTAGTAAGACTCTCAGTGTTGCTCGCCACTTTTCCGTATGGGAAGCTGAAAGACATTATAAAACAAAAAGTTGTTGTTTTGCCTAATTTTAATTTTATGTTGGCGGGATCCTATTCTCTGTTGACATACAATTTATGTAGTAAAGTACGCTTCCCAATATTAGCAAAGTATTATCTAAATATAATTTTAAGGGAAGGTAAACATACTTTTGTTAACTAAGCTACATTTTATTAACTTGCATTATAGAGGAAAATTTACCAACAGAAATAATTTCCAACTTTTTATAAAGGTAGAATTTTTGCCAGAAATCATTTGAATGTAAATGGCAACCAATATATTACTAGGAACAGTAGCATGCGTATTTAAGCAGTTTACAATCTTTTCTTATGTAAATTATTTGAAATTCTCTTTATACTGTTTTAATTTATCAATAAATACTTAGTGAACTGTATCATTATTCACGTTGTCGAACGTTAGGCAATGTGAAAACTCCCCTGTGCCTTTTTTGACGTGCGGACCATGGATTTATGCGAGCTAAATCAGTAACACCACGAAAGTTACATAAACGTACATACATTTCAAGTGATGAATTTTAAAAAGCTGCAATAATTATTTATCCCAAAATTAGATCATTATATATATATAAGTCAGACCATTAACATACGATAATCAATGATGCCATATTTAAAAGCTATTGAAAATCAAACCTCAATAATGGAATACGGCACCAAAACTACATTCAAAGTTTTATTATTACATCTGCGTTTATATCAATAGAGCTTTGAACGTGAACATTCAGTGGTTTATCAAATTACCACTTTCTCTAACGTATTCTTAATTTTTTTTTTAATAGCACTCTCTTTCAAATTTGTTAGGCACAAAAAAAAAAAAAAAAAAAAAAAAAAAAAAAAAAAAAAAATCTGAAAGATTTCAAATTTTACATTACGCCCAAAGGAACATTTATTTAACCTTTTGTGTGTTATCTTTATTGTTAAATATCACGTTCTTCGCACTTAAACAATGAAATTAAACCATATCTATAGTTATGTTATTTTTTACATACTTTACATACACGCACGCATATATATATAGAGAGAGAGATCAGTTTTCTGTAGCTAAAACATCACGCTTTGGAGATCTGAAATATTAGCGAAAGAGACTAGCTACTTAATGCGTCCTTATGATGCATGATTTAACAGAAGACAGTGAATGTTTCATCCATCTGCTCCACTATTATAACTGGTACCAGAGCACTTTACGAATGCTTCCTGGATAATAAATTAGATGAGAATGTCTCTCTTGGATAACTGAGGTGCTAAGCCTTAAAGAGATAGATTGGAGATTTAACATACGAAGAATTATTAATACCCTTTTTACTCGTGCTATTTCGACTTCTGAGAGAACTAAATTTTATAAATATATTGCTCAGTTAAATCTTATGTAGCTGTTCTCTTGATGGTATCCACCTTGTGAAACAGTAGTATCTCCTTCACATCTCGGTTCAATTTAAAAACATGTGTTCCTGCTTTCAAGAGACAGAATGTGAAAATATATCTGTAGACGACGCTATGCCTCAATTACCGGAAATACATCTAACTAGAATATCAAATCCAAGCTGTAGGGTTTCCCTTATTTTGCATAACAAATTTATTTTAAGTTTGACACCTTTTCTGAACTTCTCAACTTTCCCTCACATTCTCTTTCCAGGATGTAGATTTAAAGTTAAGAGAAGTACGTATTTAAAGGGATGAATCTCTGAGTTTATTCAGAGCGGGTTTTCGCTAGCCAGCGCACATTTCGTTGTTGTTTCGCTGTTACTCTAGTTAGCCTCTTGGCCATTTCGGATTTATCTTGGCCTGTTAGGTTTTCATGAGGCCACCTGTTAAGCGTAACTTACGTGCTATCCAGCACTACTTATTTTGACTTGAATTATAGTCTACGTTTTCAATTTCAACGCAAGTTTGACGGTGGCTTTGTAACGCACGAAGATCGTGCCTTTCTGTTAACTATTTTGAATTAATAAAGGGTTATTTTCACCCTTCTTTTGCGTTGGTAGTTTTTTACGCCAGTGCAAGAATTCGGCAGGTTCATTGTAGGATCTAATCTAGTTTATGTGCAAAAACAGAGAACGACCCTATAACGTTAGATGAACATTAGGTGCATTTTAAGCAACTAGGTAAACCCTGAGCACTTTCGAAGTAAAACGATTATCTCCTTCACAGAATCAGTTAGGTATAATTGGATGAAAATGATTAGCCATAGTGATATGAATGTCGATATACCAAAAAGCAGCAGAATCAAATCATTAAATCCATTATCTGCTCCATACATGGAGATAGCTTATGGTCGTATTTTTGAGGCATTCTTTAATAATTATGAAGGTAGTCTGATTAAGAAAAATAACCTTAATGTCTTTAAACCAACATCAAAATATAATATCGTCACAGCATTCTTATTCAAAGAAATATTATTATTATGCAGCTTAGAGGACTTTCGGCCAAACTTCTAAGAGTGAACTTACCATAAACTTAAGAACAGCAATTTAAGAAGATAAAGAAATTTGTCAGGAACATTTGTTCCTTTTTTAACTCACTCGAAAGGAAGCACGTTGGAAAATATTTAACCTCACACTTATTTTTTTCTTAAAAGTTATGATCATTTCATTAAAAACCAGACAAAAGCCAGGGAGGTTGTTTCAGATGTCAGGGGTTTAGCCACAACTAACTCAACTGCTTCAATGAACCAAGATGTTTAAAGTACACACACAGGCTAACTTAGCATGTACTTGAGATCCGCTGACGAACCTACACGGTTCCTCATCGCTGTTTTCAATGAAATGAAATGTTGTGCTGCAATGAAATGCAATGAATGCTGTAATGAAAAAGATGTTTTCATTGCAGCGATGATCAGCCCTGCTAAATTAAAGGATGTTCAAAGTTTATAAATCTCAAGAGTTTAAGAAAAGAATAAAGATTACCTGAAGAAAACCCAACAAAGATGGTGAAAAACCTAGCACATAATTTTCCAGCTCTTTAGCTATGAAGTTCTATGAACGGTTCGCAGCAGCCGCGCAAATAATAATCATTGCTGACGATTATTTCAACATAGAAAAAACAAGAATATCTTCCCTGTTTTCTGATACCAAATATAGTACGTAGCTCAAATTAATTCTGGTTTGTGATATGTCAACAACAACAGAAGCCATTTCCATAAATTCAGACTTCCAGCTGCAGAACTATTTGAAAGGTTTAGTCTTATTGGACACATGAATAGCCACGAATGGACGTTTTCGCTACTCGCCTGATAGCACCTCATTAACAGCAGTGGGACTGCATCGGTTTACTTCTATCCTGGATATTCTCGTGTTTGGTTCATTGGCTCCTGGCCAGTTTCCTCAACTGATGAATCTTCTCTGGAATTAGCTTACTTCAAAAGATATTGCTGTTTCATATAGCTTTTTGGACTGATGATTATCATAGTATACTCTCCGCTCATCTCGATGTCCCCGTAACATCTATGGCATATTTGAAAGTTACCTCCAGAATCGTTTCCTCCTGGTCCCACACAACAACGGGACAACCATCAAACAGCAGGAGAGAGGATGCCCCGCAAGGATCTTGCGCCGGCCCAGTGCTCTGGAATCTAACTTTCAACAGCATCATCTCCACCAACTGGCCACAGCATACACAACTAGTTGCCTATGCAGAGGACGTTGCGTTCCTAATCCAGGGTCGCACCAGAAACGAATTGGAACACAGAAGCACTCAAATATTACAAAAATTCAGCTTCCTCTGTCAAGAACTCAAATTAACCATCTCCACTCTCCACTGCCAAATCAACCGCTCTTATCATTCCCAAGCCAGGCACCAACCCAAGCAGAAATCCATGTATTAAACTCCAACAGAAAAATCTAAAAATCGTCAAAGAGCTCAAGTATTTAGGCTTAATATGGGACAAAGGCCTTACATGGATCCCACATCTACAGCAACTCAAAATTAAGACACAAGCCATTGCACGCAAGGCCCGTCAATTTCAAGGTATAAATTGGGGACGAAACCCATATATTAACAAGATTTTGTACACGACAGTGATTGAACCCATAGTCCTGTACGCTGCCGCAATATGGGCGAAGCCGATGCAAAGCCGGAAACGTAAACAACTACAGACCATCCAAAGACCTTTCGCACTAATGATGTGCAAAGGTTTTCGCACCACAGCCACCTCTGCGGCCATCATCCTTGCAGGCATACCGCCACTATATCTTAGAGCCGAGCAAGAAGCTACAATAACCAGAGTCCTGCAACTACGCAAAGACGCCACCTTCCACGATACAACCCACAGTCCGACCTTATATGAAAACCCTCGCCCCACCCAACGCCCACACCCAGGCATTCAAGGAAGAAACTTCCGCATCACCATAGACAACACTAGCAATTCTAGTATTCCCAACGCTACGTACGTCTACTACACCGATGGATCCAAGATTGAAGACGGAGTTGGTAGCGCCTACATTTGCTACCACCAAAATGATGAACATACCAGTTGGAAGGCAGCACTTCGGCACTTCAATAGTGTGTTCCAGCAGGCAGAAGCCTTGGCCATCCTCAACGCCACCAACGACATACTAAGTAACGGCTACCACCAAGCATGCATCTGTACAGACAGCCAATCTTCACTCCTGGCGATTCAAAACTTAAGCCACACCTCCCCAATTATCTCCGAAATCCAAAAGCTACTCTCTGTAAACCACCAGCAACGCATTCACCTCACCTGGGTCAAGGCGCATGCTGGTCTAGTTGGAAACGAGGCAGCAGACACCCTAGCCAAAGAAGCCGCCGCCATCAGTTCTGAAGTTCAGCAAATCCGTATCCGTGCACCACCATCGCATCTAAAGAGGCTTCTCAAAGAAGACCTACTCAAAATATGGCAAGAGGAATGGAACGCGTGTGACACCGGACGACGGACCTACAATCTCCTACCCAAAGTCTCTCTATCACGCCTCATAGCTATACCCCAACTCACCCGGTTCATAACGGGACATGGCCCCTATCCAGCGTATTATTATAGGCACAACATCTCCACTACAGATGCTTGCGTGTGCGGTGCCAACCAACTTGGATCACCAGACCACTATATCTACTCTTGCCCACTCACAGCAGACAACCACATTAAGCATCCCACTCCTCCTACAGACGCCTTTCAACGGTTCATTATTAAAAACAAACCTGCAATCAATAAAATCTGTAAGGTCATTGACCAGCTCGCCGCTATGGGCCAAGATATATGCGACGCTGCATAATCCCACAACGTCCGCCACTAACAGAAGTCAACATGAATATCACCCTGTGCTGCTAACATGTCACCGCGCTCGGCATGCTCATATACTCAGCAACCTATGCGCTACAAAAACATATATTCGCCGGACCTCTACGTGTCCCCCATATCAATGTCCAGCAATCACATGTTATTCCCATCTTATGGCCCCTCGTCTGTAAACACACCCCCACAATGTACAGTATATGTGATCAATGAGGCCAAATATGTATCTGACATGTGGTATATGTGTATTATTATTTTTAAGTGTGTTTTATTTGTCATAAGTCTTCAGTGTTAATCAAGTGTATCCCTCTCCCCCCTTTTTTTTTCCCTCTGCGTGTGTGTTTTCTGTACATTTTCATGTTTTTGTGTTTTCATACATTTAGTACCTAGCTCTGAGCCCCTCACCTGTAAATCCGTCCCACAAGTCTCATACCTGTAATTATGTAATTAGTCAAGCAATGTTAATAAGTCGCCCCTGTTTGGCCATGTAAACTCCTGCACCCTTAATAAGCTCCCGGTGTGGACTCTTGAGGCCACAGGGAGTTGTTGCCATTAGATAGTGGAAGGCGAGGGACACATGCCTGTTTATCTCTGGTAGCCACCAGGCGTCCCCGTCTTCCGTCACCTACCTACCTATCATAGTATACTCTTTCGTTCTCGATCCTCCTGAAATTCTCATCGAAGATTTCATTTGCCAGAGAAAATGCGCCATAGTTCTTTTTGGTGCAATTTTAAACAGCCGATGAGTCGCGTAAGTGGCAATAAATGTTAACCTCTGTTCAGTACTGTTCTATATTGCGAAACATCTTTTCGAAAAACGAAAGGATTGCCTCCTTTCCTTTAAAGTCAGATTGATCAAAAGTGCTGAAATGCTGTTGTAATGCATCGAGCCTGGGTCACTGTATGAAAGGGTAAATTTCAACTACTGGCTCAAATATTAAAGGTTACCCATTCTTATTAAAAATATTTTGAGCAATCAGTGTGTTATATGATGGATCTTTATAATCATGTACGGCCTTTGATTATAGGCCCCGAATAATCTAAAATCATAGCTATATTGGCTCTGATTTTTAGTTATTGTTTTTTCTCTAACGGTTATAGATAAGAATTTTTGAATATACAGCACTAATTTCTTTTTTTCAAATGCATATAAAATTATTAACTTTAAGATCGTAAGCAAAATTTTTAAGTTATAATGCAGCATCTTTCCCGAAGATTTATAATTATTTTTAAACAAAATTCTTTTAAATAATTTAGAAACATTATGTGAATTTTACTTGTATTATTATGAAACATCATATTATACCAAAAGAAAGGCTTAATATATTAACAAAGAGGTGTTATTATTAAAATATGTATACTAGATTCAATTAACATTAAATAATCATTAGAGTCTATTGGAAATAAATGGCCTGGGTGTAAACTTGGGATTAAAATTCTAGATCATTTTTGTCAATCAATCGACTAAAATGAAGATGCAGAACGGTCATACAATATATATATATATATATATGGAAAACGCCACGTATATATATATATATATATAACTTTATCTGTATGTGTTAGTAATATATAAATAAATATGTATGTGTATTAAAATTAAAAAAGTTTCTGGAACTATTTATGTTTTTAACCTTCAATTATTTACTCTCCCCTATAATTTTTATTTATTATAAAACGATTGGGTAAGCATATGTTTGAAATAGTCTTTTAATTTAGCTGTATAAGTTTACTACCATGAAATTTATAAAAAAAAAAAAAAAAAAAAAATCTGAAATGTTTCAGATTTTAAATTACGTTCAAAGGGGCGTTTTTTAACATTTTGTGTTACCTTTCTTTATTAAATATCATGTTCCTCGCACTTAAACCATAAGATCCAGTGCAACAGCAATATCGCAAAATAGTTTTAAAACGAGCATATCTTTAGAATTTCCGATACAGAGACTCACGCGCTGGAGATAAAAATGTTTTTTCTGCACAACGTTGCCATTGCTCGCTTTGAAATCCTTGAGTTTGTTAATCAAAAATTCGTCAAAGTTTTAAAAAATAGGAAATCGATCATAAAACAAATTTCAAATTTCAAATTTGGTCTTCCGCATGCTCGTATTCGTTGGAGGATTACGTTATTCAAAATTCGATGACTCTATATACCGTTATTTTATGACAATGTGAGAAATATACATAAATTTACGCAGATTTTCATTATTTAATTTCTTCAAATATAATGCAGGACTCTAACATTTTATGGCAACAGTTTGAAACGTGAACCAACATTTATCCGTGCGACGCAAAATGCCAAAACGAAACTAATAGTCCTTCGGGATTCATATCCCTTTGGACTAAAAAAAAAAAGAGATTTTTGTTAGAAATGTCCAGAGTCATTCAGAATAATAAATTAATTGAAACATGTGAACTATAACGACATAATAAATAAAAACAAGAAATACCTGCAATTTGGAATTTATAATATTATGTATTTCTGTATCAAAACTCAAAACATATTACGTTCACTTGTGATAAGCTTGTTTTGGATTTCATTTAAAAATTGGTAAGAATTATTTGTAATCGCTTATTACTAATTCTTCAATAAGTCAACCTTATTAAATTACACTTAGCTTACACTCATTCAAAATTGATGTATTGCTTCTGAATTGATTTTAAAGAAATTAGAAATTTTTAATACTTTTTAATGTGGATTATAGTGCAGTATTTTAAACAACAATGAAATTACATCATTTCTGATCAGAAAATTTCTTTAAGGAGAATTTACTCAGATTCCTCGTAAGATTATAACCGAAAAAAAAAAAAAAAAAAAAAAAAAAAAAAAAAAAAAAAAAGAACTAAAACTTGAGAAAAAAATTCTATGTTCGTTGATTCTTAAAAATTACCCGCTGAAGTTCTAAACTTTTCTTCTGGTTACGTGAGAAATTTTTCAAAATGTACGGTTTTTATTTCACTGCAGCTTTGACTGAAATACTTTTCTTCTTTCAAATAAATTTCCTCACATCTTTCAGAGTAAAACGATTGTTTACTGTAAAATCGTTTACTCTGCTTCAACAGTGTTCTGAAGAAAACCAACTTTCCCGTGTCCAAAAGATTCACCAGAAGAGCATTTTTCACAATTTTTTCAGCTTAAGGCATATTGAAGATGAAGGTGAATGGAAGGAAGAGTGGAATGCGAAAGTAGTATTGTATTTCAAAGTGGAAGGTTTCATATGAGTATTTCACAAGAATACATACATATAAATTCGGGAATAATTCCGTTTTCCTTCCAGTGCTGTTCTAGTTATTGCTGTCGTCAACGTCAAGGGCAAAATATGAATTGCGCAGTAAATTGCGATTCACCCATTTCCTTTAGGAAAAGTCTAGCGTATAAAAAATTTGCCCTTGTATTACTGAATAATAAGAAACCCGAAACGAAAGACACCTTTCACATATTTTTGTCGCAAGGATCAATAGCTAGGAACATTTTCTTTTGCTAAAACTTTAGTTACCATTATATGTTGTCAAATGCTTTGTTTAAACGAGCTTTTCAATTAAATAAAATGTATTTTGATTTTAGGAGAAAACTTTAAATGAGTTTTTGTCAAAAATAAATTTATTATGTCAGGCTAAACGTAAATTATACTAATATGTATGCTACAGGATTGTTATCAATATATTAGGCAGTGAAATTTTGCAATGAGAGAAAGGAAAGCATTGTTGAAATGTATTATGTTGATTGTTACTATACTAGAAAATATGGAATGACAACAACACATATAATTAAAAAAAAAATCTCAAACCTTTCAGATTTAATATTATACCCAAAGTGGCTTTATTTAATTGTTTTGCGTGTTAGCTTTATTTATTAAATATTATGTTCTTCGCACTTAAACCACCTGAAATTCAATTTAAAGGCAACATAAAAAAAATATTTATAAACAGTAAAACAGCATATCTTTACAATTGTTGATACCCAGCCTCGAGCGCTGGGGATAAAATGTTTTTTTTTCCGTACAGTGTTGCCATTGTTCGCTTTGAAATCGTTTTGTTAATCAAATATTTTAATTAAAATGGCGCACACGATGTTAATGGAGCACTTTGAAATTGTTGAGTTTGTTAATCAAACATTCGTTTTAAAGTTTTAAAAAATATGAAATAGATAATAAAACCAATTCCAGTTTCTAAATTTGGGCTTCCAGATGCCCATATTCGAGTGGAGGACTAGGTTATTCATAACTGAATTTCTCTAGGTACCGTTGTTTATTCAAAAGGCGAGAAACATACAAGCATTCATGCAGATTCTTTATTACCTAATTTCTTTAAATATAATACAGGGCTCTATCATTTTGTGGCAATAATTTGAAAAGTGATTCTTTTATAGTGAACCAACGCAAAATACCAAAACGAAATTAATAGCCTTTCTTGGCTAATAGCCCTTTCTAAAAATGATCATGATTAATATATGTTCTGCATATTATGATACTTTATGTATTAGTAAAGGAATTGTGACACATATGACATCGGAATTTTCTCACATTTTTTAAGTAAATCTTTTGTGTATTAAGATTTAGAATATCTAAAAATTGTAATTTACTTCATAAATAATTTTTGTCTGTTGTCACTTTTATTAAAGTCATATATGCATCAAAAAACATTGTACACTTTTATTACAAATATGCTAACATTATGCTACTTTTTCAAGGTATTATTTTATATTTTGTTTACAGTTATAATAAATAATAATTATAAAATCGTAAAATTTTAAATCATTTGTACTCATTTATTTCTTTAACCTTAACATAAGGGAATGCTATTCTCTGAAATAGTTAAATCGGCCGAAATTTCGAAGTTTTCCTTTGCGCTTGCATTATTCAGTATACGTAACTGCATTGTATGAAATAATATCTACTGGTGTTCATAACATATATACAGTCTTTATTATTCTAGCTAAAAATGTCAGTTACTAACTGTCAGTGAATTTATATTTAGAAATAG